AGACGGGGGGGGGGGGGGAATCCTTCTTTCCACCAGTTCTTTGCATTCATCAGTGGACTTGGAAGAGGGTAGATCCGCAGCAACGGAAGGGAGAGCCCCAATAACAGTCACCTCATACGGCAAGCTGATATTGGAGGACCTCTGGTGCCACTTCCTGAAAGGAAAGCAGTTTTTCCGTGGGAAAAGTAACAATGAACTGTTTGAAACTTACATTCGCTTCTGTTTCAACACTCTAAGCGCTTTCTGCTTTACCATGTTCTAGAAGAGAAGCAACAGTAATCAGGATTACAGTTTAACCACTGAAGGCAACCCTTGTCAACTAATGGATGTTTATTTAAAAAAAAAACAACAACCCTGACATACCAGGTTTCCGCTCCTTGTACTTAGGAATGCAAATGTTGACATTCTCTGACAACATTAACAGACCGGCAGCCCGACATATGAAGCGCTCAAGTGAGCAAGCCTGACCACGGGGTCCTGCCCTTTCTCTATGATCACGGCAGTGTACCTGCTTCTCTTCCCCCTCCCAACAATTTATCCTCACCACAATCCCGAGATGTCACCCAGTCAGGCTCACGCACTGCGGACTCTCTCAGGTACTGAGACAACAATTATGGCGAAAACCAGATAGTAAACAAGTATAAAGCCAACAGTCGTGATAGTCTGACCCACAAATCAAACAGTCATTAAGACGTATAAGGAATGCTATCTATGTATTACCATCTGAAGCACTACAACATGATAGACAAATCATAAGAAAATCCTTGAACCTAGGTACATAATCAACGTTGTTGTCTAGCACTTATGAAACAGAGAGCTTTTGCACCATTATGTAAGTAAGATAGCACTAAGATTATTGTATTGTCTCTTGTTATTGGTGTAGCATGTATTCTAAAAATTGTATTTTTGTACACTACAGAATATCTCTTGAAGAAGATCCATTTTTTGAAACGCTGTTATATAATCTGGAGACGACGTTGATTATGTACCTTGGTTCAAGGATTTTCTTATGATTTGTTTCCCCTGTTGTAGTGCTTCAGATGGTAATACATAGATAGCATTCCTTATAAGTCTTAATGACTGTTTGATTTGTGGGTCAGACTATCACGACTGTTGGCTTTATACTTGTTTACTGATTGGGTCGTGTTTGTCCAGAAAACCAGATAGTGACATTTCTTAAAACCTGGAGGAATCTTTTTTTTTTTAATATCAAATAGTAATTCCACATGCATTTCTGATTTTATAAACATACAGAAGGCATGTCACTTTGTCACTGAAATGACACCGGCAGATCTGGGTGAAGCCTGGTACGGCATGAGTCACCTTCACCCTCCCGCTCACCTCTTACCTTTGCGGGCCCTTCCCTCATCTTCTTCATTTGATCTTTATACTTCACCAGTTCGGCATCAAGCCTCGAGATTTTCTTGTCAATAGACTCTGCTCTGCTATCCACCTTTAGCAAGGAGAAAGGAAAAAAAGAGGGGGAAGGACACAATTTAGTAATGGCAAAAGGCACCTGTAGACTCTTTTCTTCTCCAATATTTCACATATAATATTCTAGCAGTTATAACAACATGTATAATCAAGTAGGAATCCTGCTTTTTACAACTTGCTGGAACTATATCCAATAAAAATAGTTCTGGTACAAAAGATATATTAATTTCCAAAATTCTTTTCAAAATTTCATGTACCTAAGCTCAATATTTTTTACTTTTTTCACAGGTCCACCATATATGAAAAATAGAGCCAACCCTCTCTTAACATTTCCAACAATCATTTGACATATTGGGATAACATTTTGCTAATTTGTCTGGAGTAATATACCATCTAGAAAACATTTTATAAATATTCTCTTTATAAGAAATTGCTTTCGTAATGTTTATATTTATTTTTCCAAATCTTTGACCACTGACCTAAATCAATATTATGTCCTAACAGCTGTTCTTGAAAAAGAGCCGTTCCTGTCAGAGCTCTCTCAGCCCCGCCTACCTCACAGGGTGTCTGTTGTGGGGAGGGGAAGGGAAAGGAGTTTGTAAGCCGCTCTGAGACTCCCTTGGGTAGTGAAGGGCGGGGTATAAATCCAATCTCCTCCTCCTCCTAAATTTTGCGCCCATTTGACCATGGAACACTTAACTACTCATCTTGTGTTTTCATTTCTAACATTACACCATACAGTTTTTTAATGAGTTTTTCATCAGTGTGAATCAATATTTTATCAATTTCTGTTAACTGTTCATAAAAACCTATTTGTTTGTCCTTAGCGTATCTGGACTCTAACTGTGATCTTTCCCACCAACTCAGGCCAGTATCTTGTTTCTTGAGATTTTCTGCTGACTTCAAGTGGTTTTTATTGTCTAACAAGTCTTCATATCTCCACATGGGGTATTTTTGGAATACATTTGGATTAGCAAAAGCTTCAAGTGGAGAGACCCATTTTGGTATCTTAATATAAAAAAGTTTTTTGTTTCTTCCCATACTTTTAGTAAAGATCTTCTAAGAATATGTTGTTTAAAGTACTTATGTGTATTATCTCTGTCATACCAAGCAAATGCATGCCACCCACATGTTGTCATGACCCTCTAACTTTAATATTCTTGTATTTTCCAATGTGATCCATTCTTTCACCCACGTCAATGCGGATGCTTTATAATATAAAGACCAATCTGATAGGGCAAATCCAGCTCTTTATGTTGCATCCTGCAATGTTTTCAACTTTACTCTTGCCATATAAAATGTAACATCAATTTACCTAATTCTTTAAAGTATTGTTGGTTTTGAAGGATTGGAATTGTTTGAAATAAGAAGATCAGTCTTGGTAAAATATTCATTTTTATGGTGGCTATTCCCATTAATGATATTTGTAAGTCTTCCCACTTTTCCAAGTTTCATGAAATTGTTCTTTATTAGCGAGCGGAATCTGTTTGTCAAAATTATTCCTAAATATTTCACCTTCCTCTGAACTTCAGTACCTGAAGTTTTTTAGATAATTTGCATTTGGTCTTTGGTAATATTTTCCGTTAAGATTTTTGTTTTATTCAAATTAACTTTTAATCCAGCAACTCGACCATATTCTTGCAAAGTTTTTAACAGCTGCGAAAGAGAGTTCATTGGGTCTTCTAAAATAAATACTAAATCATCTACAAATGCTTGTAATTTATATTCTTCTCCTCTTATTTTCACTCCTTTGATTTGTATATCTTCTCTAATTGTGTTAGTCAATGCTTCAAGCATAAAAATAAACAATAATAGAGTGGGCAACCTTGTCTTGTTCCTTTATGTATCTCTATATTTTGTGATAAATCTTCATTAACAAAGACCATTGTTGTTTAGAAAAAACTGCTTTAACCATTGTATAGAAATCTTTCCCACATTGCATAGTTGTCAGTTGTTCCAACATAAAGTTCCAACTAATATTATCAAATGCTTTTTCTGCATCTAAAAAAATCAAAGCCATCTGTTTCTCTGGGTGTGCTTCAAAATATTCAGTCACATTTAGTATGGTCCTTACATTGTTCCTGATTTGTCTTTTTGGTAAGAAGCCAGCTTGATCTCAGTGAATTATCTGTGTTAAAATGCTTTTCATTCTTGCAGCCAATATTGATGTGTATATTTTATAATCAACATTCAATAATAAAATTGGCCTATAATTTTTAATTTCTCCCTCGTCTGTGTTTTGTTTATGAATCAAAGTAATTAAGGCTTCATTCCAGGTCTCTTGTATTTTACTTTCCATTATAATGTTTTGTATTACATGTTTTAAAGGCATTCTAGCGTGATCTTCAAATGTTTGGTAAAATTCTGCCGGAAATCCATCAGGGCCCGGAGTCTTTCCCTTCTTCTGTTTTTTTTTTTTTTTTACTGCTTCTATCAATTCAGAAAAGGTAATTGGGTCATTTAAAATTTTTCCTTTGATCTTCTGTAAATTTCTTAAAAGAGTTATATTTTTTAAAGAAATCTTCAACCTCTTGCTTTTCTAATATCTCATGTTGGATCTTCTGCTGCTGCTGCCTTCAACTTTGCCCGGCATTCCCGTCTTTGCCAGTGAGTCATGTCTTCTGTGGTAGCCACAGTTGTGCGTAGGTTTGTTAAAAGGACCCTTTTTCTTTAATATTCAGCCTGATTAAGATTTCAGGAGAACTCAGGCTGAATATTAAAGAAAAAGGGTCCTTTTAACAAACCTACGCACAACTGTGGCTACCACAGAAGACATGACTCACTGGCAAAGACGGGAATGCCGGGCAAAGCTGAAGGCAGCAGCAGAAGAAGATCCAACATGAAATGGATTAACTCAATAGTGGAAGCCACAAAGGCCCTCAGTTTGTAAGACCCGAGCAAGGCTGCTCACTCACGACAGGGTGTTCTGGAGGACACTAATTCAAGCGGTCACCATGTCAGAAGTGCCTTGAGGGCCCGTAACACACAAACAGGTTTGTCATAATCACAACAAAAGCCTAACCTGTAACCTTCACCTGACTTCTCAATTTCTCATAATGTCATTATTGCTTTAAAAAGCTCCCTTTAATTGAATACCAGAGCCAATGGATGCATCTACTGGCAATTAATGGCATTTAACATCTAAGACAGCAAGGGCAAGAACTTACGTGTGTGTACATTTTTACACAATGCAACAAAACATATTTTGATATGAAACGATAAATAAACTTTGTACTTCTACTGAGGACGACCAAGAGATACTCCAAGAAAATCACTACTTAAAAAACAAAGCACAACAAAGAAACTTCTAGGCACTGTGGCGACTGGGCACCTGTTCAGCCCTGTTTTAAGGGAACTCGACATTTTGTCCAGCATCAGAAAGACCCTTGATCAAGAGCTGGTTTTGCTTCCAATCCATTTTTGCTCCTTCTTCCCAGAAGGCCATTGGTGCAAGTTGAGACTAGCCAAGCCCCACACCCACTGGAGTCACCAGAGCGTTCTATACAGGATGAGGCCTGGAGGCTCCAAAGATTGCCCCCCCATCCAACCTGATGAAGAGTCCTGGAGAATTGGAACGTTTCTTAAAAGCAAGATTCCTAGCAGAACCTCTGCTACTGTAGAACCAAGTCTTGAGTCCAGGGGCACCTTTAAGACCAACCAAGTTTAATTCTGGCTATAAGCTTTTGTGTGCATGCACACTTCTTCAGATACATGCATACATATGAAAGCTCATACCCAGAATTAAACTTTGTTGGTCTGAAAGGTGCCACTGGACTCAAACTTTGTTCTGCTGCTTCAGCCCAACATGGCTACCCACCTGAATCTTCTCGTAGTGTAGTTGTTATTTCCTGCTTGGGGGGGTCAACAGTGGGAGGGCTTCTAATGTCCTGGCCCCACTGCTGGACCTCCTGATGGCACTGGTATTTCTGGCCACTGTGTGACACAGAGTGTTGGACTGGATGGGCCTTTGGCCTGATCCAACATTGGCGTCTCTTATGTTCTTATGTTCTAATGCAACAAAACATATTTTGATGTGAAACAATAAATAAACTTTGTACTTCTACTGAGGACGACCAAGAGATACTGCAAGAAAATCACTACTTAAAAAACAAAGCACAACAAAGAAACTTCTAGGCACTGTGGCGACTGGGCACCTGTTCAGCCCTGTTTTAAGGGAACTCGACATTTTGTCCAGCATCAGAAAGACCCTTGATCAAGAGCTGGTTTTGCTTCCAATCCATTTTTGCTCCTTCTTCCCAGAAGGCCATTGGTGCAAGTTGAGACTAGCCAAGCCCCACACCCACTGGAGTCACCAGAGCGTTCTATACAGGATGAGGCCTGGAGGCTCCAAAGATTGCCCCCCCATCCAACCTGATGAAGAGTCCTGGAGAATTGGAACGTTTCTTAAAAGCAAGATTCCTAGCAGAACCTCTGGTACTGTAGAACCAAGTCTTGAGTCCAGGGACACCTTTAAGACCAACCAAGTTTAATTCTGGCTATAAGCTTTTGTGTGCATGCACACTTCTTCAGATACATGCATACATATGAAAGCTCATACCCAGAATTAAACTTTGTTGGTCTGAAAGGTGCCACTGGACTCAAACTTTGTTCTGCTGCTTCAGCCCAACATGGCTACCCACCTGAATCTTCTCGTAGTGTAGTTGTTATTTCCTGCTTATCTTATACGCTTAAAACATTTTAGTTGCCTTACTATTTTTTAAAGTATATTTGCCTGTCTTGAAAATATGTAGAAAAAATTTAAATCCTTTATAACTCTGAGGTTTAAAAAGTGGACACTTGCTCCTATTCTTAAACCGTTATAACTGCACAGAGAAAAATAGCTGCCACAGAGAAAGTCCCAGCTAGGAAAACAAAGCTCTGTTGTAACTAGCAGCAGGCTTTTAAAGCAAGAAGCAAGTCTAAGCCTAAACAGCAGATAGCTTTATCCCTGGAGATTATCCCATCGTTCTGGAATTTTGCCCCCATATGGTCTCCTGTGTCCCTTAACATTCTTAACAAGAAAGAAAAATGGTACCAGGTTCACTGAGCTGAACGGGATATGCAATGCTTTCTTGGTTTGTTGACTATATTTATAGTCCACCCTTCTCACTAAGACTCAAGACAGATTACACTGTGTAAATCGATCAAGTCAACAGGATGAGACATCTAATAAGCGATGTACTAGGACTGGGATTACAGATACCTAAATAAGCATGGCATAGATCAAAGTGGGTAGCCGTGTTGGTTGAAGCCATAGCACAAAGTTAAGAGTCCAATGGCACACGAAAGCTCACACCTTGTATAAAACTTTATTGGTCTTAAAGGTGCCATTGGACTCTAACTTTTTTCTAAGCATGACATGTTATACATGATACAGAGTGCAGATACAGTGCAGAAAAGTGGTATGACGTCAGCAAAACAATGCAGTGACAACAGAGTATTACATGCAGCAAACAGATAATATGTTCCACACACAGTGGGGCAGTCCACAGTCCTTTTCCTTTACAAAGCACCTTCCTGAACCATTCTGTTATAGTATTGCCCTATAACCTTTTTAGAAATGCCCTCCTGAAGCTGTCATGGTGGAATTATAGAAACACCAAAAGCAACAGAGTTGAATTTGGGATGCAAACTAGGTTTTCCAACTGGAGAATACTTTTAATTCTCGTAGCAATATTTGTTTCAGGAACATCAAGGTAAGATGGATAGAGGATAAGTAAAAAGGTCTGCTAAGAGTTGCATAAAAAGGCTAGTGGGGCAAGATAGCAAAGCCTTTCCCAACATTTCACGTATGAATCAGTAACCGATTAAATATTTTCAGATAGTTTCCTGCAAACATGAGAACAAGACATCTACTCTTTTCAAAAAAGAAGCAGCGGCAGCAACAGCTGGCATTCCAGGTTTAAGTATGTATATTCCCACCTGGGCTGTCCAGAGGAAATGGTTGGCCACTGTGTGAGACAGGGCACTGGACCAGATGGACCACTGGTCTGATCCAGCAGGGCCCTTCTGAGGTTCTTATCAGGGGAAGGCCTCGGCCTCTCTGCCCTGTTGTTGGCCCTCCAGAGGAACTGGTTAGCCGCTGTGTGAGACAGGATGCTGGACAAGATGGACCCTCACTGGTCTGATCCAGCAGGGCTCTTCTGATATTTTAGTGAAGGCCTCGGCCTCTCTTCCCTGTTGTTGGACCTCCAGAGGAACTGGTTGGCCATCGTGTGAGACAATGCACTGGACCAGATGGACCCTCACTGGTCTGATCCAGCAGGGCTCTTCTTATGTAATGTCTGGCATGGTCCCCAAGACAGACCAAAATGTCAAAAAATGAGGGGCACAGTGAACTAAGTAACGTTCTTTGCATTTACAAAAAGTTCTAAATGTTCTGAAATAAAAGCTGGTCTTTTGAAATAAGATTCTTTGGCTTACCCTTCCCCAAATGACAAGCTGAAGAATTGTTATTGCTGCCTCTCCAATTCCTCTTTTCTCAGCTGTTTGTTGCCCTGACCCCTAAATGTAGTTGGAAAGCCCCTCGGAGTAAGGGCCTCTCTCATTTACATAAAGGCAGTGGACACTAATCACATTCGACAGCGGAAACAAGCAGCCAAAACCTTATTTATTTAATTCATTTATATCCCATCTTTCTCCCCAATGGGACCCAAAGCAGGTGACATCATTCCCCTCTTCTCCATTTTATCCTCACAACAACCCTGTGAGGTAGGTGAGACAGAGAGTGTACCTGCCCAAGGTCACCCAGCCGGCTTCCATGGCATGAGTGGCCATTCAAACCTGGATCTCCCAGTTACTAGTCCAACACTCTTCACCACTACACCACACTGGCTCCTAAGGCACAGGGATGAGTGCAGGCAGTTCCAGGACACGGGGCTTAGACAGTAGACCTCGTTCCAGTTAACGACCATTGGCCAGTTGCTGGTGGGCCATAAGAATGCTAGTCTTATATTCTTAAGCACCACTTTATACCCAAGACAAACTAATAGTTAGTTATGCTTTAAATTGGTAATATCCCATCTTTCTATGGAGGTTAAGATCTACCCATCTTGGTTAAATCTGTATTGTAAATTTGTTACTATATTTTATTGTAATTTATTGTTTTTAAATTATGTGTTTATTGTTGTAACCTTGGCACATGGTGCCCTTGTGAGCCGCCCTGAGCCTTTGGGGTAGGGCGGGATATAAATCCAAATCTAAATAAATAAAAAAATATATAATGACCACTGCTCCCTGTATGCTGTGGAGCCCTGTGAGCAAAAAACCTGCTTTGTGAGCTCCTGGCATTAAAGCTGTGAGCGAGCAATTTGGCTACGGCATAAATTAGTTTGCTCTGGAGCCATCCTTCCTGAGCTGAGACAAAAATGTGTGATTCACGGCTTCCGTAAAACCGAATCTGATGACCAGAGGAGGAGGCTTTTACTGGCAGGCTGTGGATTTCCTTTTAAATCAGAATGATTCCTGGTCATGTGTTAATATCCTATTAAACTGTTTGGTGTATCAATACCTTGGGACTTAGGAAAGGCATTACACAAAGACCTTCAATTTACACTTTAGGGCTGTGTCTCAAGGGTTCTAATAAATGGGCAAAGAGATTACTTGGGAGCTCATCCCCCAGTTGGATTCCAAGAATTCCTAGTCTGGAGAACTGTTTGATGAATTTTAACTGCCTTGTACAGACGACAGTAACAGCTGGCAACATGTACGGACCAGAGACTCACAGCCAATCCCAAACTGCACAAGAGGAATGGGGGTGGTAACTGAGCTCCTTGGACCAACCAAGCAGAACAGAGAGTTGTGAATATCAGAGATGCCTAGCTAGATCAGATCAAGGTCCTTCTAATCCACTGTACCAACCAGTTGCCCAGAAGGGCCACAACTAACGGTGGGAGACCTCGGTCACTCTGCCCTGATGTGGCTTCTTAACACCAAGATTCAGAGACTGACTACCTCTGAATGTGGAGATTCTCGGTAGTCACCATGGCTAAAGCTATGAACTGTCACATAGGTGAGGGACATGAAGGTTGCCAAAATTCTCCCTTCAACACTCTGTCTAAAGAAAGGAGGTTCTCTGGCATCTGATCACTTACTCACTCTCTCTTTCTCTCACACTCACCCTTCTTTGAGGGTTGCCAACCTCCTGGTAGGGCCTGGAGGTATCCCAGAATATAGACTGATCTCCAGACTACAGAGATGAGTGCCCTTGGAGAAAATGGCTGCTTTGGAGGATGGATTCTATGGTATGCCATAACCTAGGAGAAACTGAAGTCCTAGAAGAAGAGATTGGATTTATACCCCATGGCCCTTCACTACCCAGAGGTGTCTCAGAGCGGCTTACAAACTCCTTTCCCTCCCTCTCCCCACAACAGACACACCCTGTGAGGTGGGTGGGGCTGAGAGAGCTCTGACAGAAACGGCTTTTTTTCAAGGACAGCTCTTATCAGAACTACGGCTTGCCCAAGGTCGTCCAGCCAGGTGCCAGTGGAGGAGTGGGGAATCAAACCCGTCTCTCCCAGATCAGAGTCCGCGCACTTAACCACGACACCACACTGGCTCCACTCCCCGACTGAGCTCCCTCCACTCCCCAAGCCCCACCCTCCAATCTCCAGGAATTTCCCAGGTTTCCAAACCCGAGCTGCCGACCCTGCCCCTCTCTACGGTTCCCAATTCTGACTTGGGGAACACCACTGGGGATCTGTGCCGGGGAAGGGGGGAGAGCAGCGGCCCCTGGGGAAAGACTTCACGGCCTATACTCTCCTCTCAGCGCCCGCCGCCTTCTGGAGCCGCCATCTCCCCCAGGGGAGCGGCTGTTCTCTGTCGTTCCGGGACCCCCCTGGGAGTCTGGCGGCAGCCCTGACCCCTTTTCCCCTTGCGGCGGCAGAGGTCACGTGGGCCGAGGGAAGGGGCGCTGGCAGCTCCTCCCGATCCCCCAACAGGGGGCGGGGGGAGGTGTTTCCATGGTGACGGAGTCCAGCAACCCGCCCCACCCCACCCCCCACAAGCCAGGCGGCGGAGGACAGAACTGACCGAGCCAATACAATCCGTCAGGTTGGGGGGCGGCCCCTTCGGCTTCGACTTCCCGAAGAAGCGGTTCATCGCGGCGGCGGCGGCGGGTCTCTTCGGCGATCAACAAACACACCCGCCCGCCCCCGAAGCCGGACGAACCAGGAAGTTTGCGCCGGAAATCCCTTCGCCCGCGGGACGCGACTCACTGCGCCGGCGCGCGCGCGCCGAACTCTCGCGAGACGCCGGCCGACCATTGCGCGGCGACGACGTCACACAGCTTTCCCGTCAAGCGGAGTGACGTCGAGGGCAGAAGGGTCGCCTGAAGCCATCTTCCGCCCTGCCGTGAGCCGGAAGTGGGAAATCTGCCTCGCTGGTTTGACGAGGGAAGAAAGACGCGCCCGCTCACCGGTTCTTGTGGGAGACTCGCCCCAGCGGCAAAAGGCATAAACTTCTGGCGCACATCCCATTTGGAACACTTAGTTCTGAGGTTACAGGATGAACCAGCGACTTGCCCCTTCACCCACGGAACTCAGGGCTGCCACAGCCTCCGTGTGGGTAGCAGCCCATATAACTAGCGAAGGAAAAATCCACAAAAGCTGTAAACAATGCAAACACGCGTTTATAATCTGAATTACAATCCAAGTACAAAATAATAATAGTGAGAAAATTTCCTGAACGGTAGAACTTTTACAAAAGCCCACTTTTGGTGAAATTATTTCTGGATATGATTCAATCATGGGATAAGAAGAGACATTTGTTGGTATCTTGATTTTTTAACCAAAACAATTTTTATTTTTTTAACAAATAAAAATTATAAATAACAATAAATCGCAGGTTTTCACAATATACAAGTACACTCAAAAGTAAAACGAATATTGATATAACATTGAAGAATAAAGATTGTACAATAATTAGCCGTATAACAATAATTTGAATTTAGCATTAGTAATTGCTTCCCAGTCAAAACTATCAAAGGTGAGTGTCTATAATAGGGTACCATTTCCCTGTTGGGTTGTATAGTGTTATATATTGAAATAGATTCGTACATTAAAAAGTCCCATATTTTAGATAACCAGAGGTTTATAGATGGGGGTTGTTTATCCCTCCATTTCGTTGCTATGACATTTTTGGCTGCTGTTATTAAAATATTAATCAATAGTTTTTGTTTAAAGGAAAAATTTCCTATTGGCCACAAATTCAGCAGCATTAATTGTGGTTCCAATGGGATATCATGTCCCGTAAGTATTAGAATTTTGTTTTTCACTTCAGACCAGAATGTAAATATATGACTGCAGGACCACCATGTGTGGAAGAACGTGGCCCTCTCTCCACATAACTTCCAGCAGAGTGGGAAAATATTTGACGACATGTGAGAAAGCTTAACTGGTGTTAAGTATCAACGTAATAATACCTTGTAAGATGATTCTTGTATTTCAATAGATTTTGAAATACTTTGTTGAGTTCTCCAAATCGTGGTGCATTGCTCATCAGTCAAAAAGTACTCTGTAAGTCTGAATGCCATGCCTTTTGGTAGCTCATTTGATTAATAGTTTGCTTAAGGAGTAAAAGTTTGTAGAGTGGAGATTAAGCCTTGTTTTTTAGATCCTTTGAGCATTATTTTCTCAAAATCTGTTACTGGTGATGTAATAGCATATTTAAGCTCAGTGGTTTTAATTAAATGACGCATTTGTAGGTATTCAAACCAATGAACTGTAACTTTGTTTTTTCTCTATTTCAGATTTCGTCATAAGTTTGTTTCTTGTCACTACGTCCGCAATTCGAGTGATGCCAGTTTTCCTCCAGGTAAGAAAGGAATTTTGACTTGTAGCGGGATGAAAATTTTGTTGACAATTTTTATTTTTTTAACAAATAAAAAATATAAATAACAATAAATGAATGTATATAGTTTTGAATGGTTAGAAGTCAGTGCTTGTTTGGACTGATTCCAAATTTTTAGTGTATTTATTAAAAATATCTTACTTATTGTTTTGAAGGTTTTGGAGTTATGTGAAACCCATAGTATTTCTTGGAAGTCTATCTCAATGGACGCTTTTTCTTCTAACCATTTCCAGTCTAATTCATTTTTATCATGATATTGTCTGATTAGAGAGACCATTTTAGTTGCTTTGTAATAAGTGTGCAGATCTGGGACTGCTAAGCCCCCTGCTCTTTTGGTTTTCCAAAGAGTGTTATGTGGAATGCGATGATTTTTTTATTGCCAGATCTACTTATTCAAGTCATTTTGCCATTTTTTTAATTGTTGGTTTACAATTGTAATGGGTAATGCTCGAAAATAATAAAGATATTTTGGTAATATGTATGTCCTCAAAATAGTGATTCTATCTGAGAGGGAAACATTTTAGTATTCCAAGACTTTAATTGCGTGACATTGGATTTATGCAGCTCCGTATAGTTCACTTTGTTTAGATGTTCCAAATTCAATGGTATTTTTATACCTAAATAACGGATGACATTGGTCGTCCATTGATATGAGAATTTATTTTTTAATTCGTCTGATGTCGGGTTGTAAGTTTATTGGGTGTATTGTAGATTTTGATTGGTTGACTTTAAGACCAGCTATCAATCCAAATGTCTGCAATGTTTTATGGAGGTCCGTGATAGAGTGTCAGGGATTGGTCAAATAAAGTATAATGTCATCAGCGAAAAGGCTGATTTTGAATTCTTTGCTTTTTATATTAATTCCTTGTATATTTGAGTTTTGTCTAATCATACATGCCAATGGTTCCATTGCTAAGGCAAATAACATTGGTGAAAGGGGACACCCTTGACATGTGCCCCTTTGAAGTGTGAATTCAGATGAAATTGGTCCATTTATTAGTAGCTGTGCCTTAGGTTCAGCATATATGGCATGCAATGATCTTCTGAAATTGGGACCAAAATGCATGTGCTGTAGAAGCGTGTCTAAATATTTAATTTCTAAGGAGTCAAAGGCTTTTTTGATATCAATCGTTACTAATAATGAGTTTAGGTGCTTGTTTTGGTTACCATAGTGAATAAGGTTTAACGTTTTTCGAATGTTATCAGTGATATCTCTTTCTACCATAAAGCCCGTTGGTCCTTGTGAATGTAAGACGTTATTAAGAGCCTCTCCCATAAAGTGTATGTAGTTGGTGGTCTTCACCCCTAGTGCTCCAGTAGAGTAGAAACGTTGTCCGAATGCATCTAGCTTTCTGCTCTCCCTGTCTGAAGGGGCAGAATGGGTTCTCTTTGACTTGGATGAGGAAGTAATTACCATTGAATTTGGTTGAGGATGGGCAAATAAGAATTCCGCTCCTGTTTCTTGAACTCTATACATATGGTCCTCGCGGCGTGTGGACACCAGAGCCGATGACGGTTTATCCCATGGTGCTTTAGCTGCCTGTAACAGGACCGTGGACATGGGTAGTGCTATAGCTGTTGCTGTATCTAGTTGCACCACGTCGAAAACAGCATCTGTAACCTGTGGTTGTGGTTGTACGATGGAAAGGCCAAGAGAGTGGGCCATTCTTTTAACGAGGTCTCCGTAGGAAGTTAAGTTTTCAGATGGAGATATAGGTTGGTCATCGGCTACTGCCTGTTTCAGGGAAGGCTGGTCAGGGGAGCTGTGTAAATTTGAACCCCCCGTATCCGAATCCTCATCTGCAGAGTCAGAGGAATCGGGATATGGTAATTGTACTGGAGTGGTTTTGATCTGACTGGTTGGATCTGTTGACAGTGGGATAGGGGGACTGGGAGGACGATATTGATCCGGTCAATGTCGAGGAGGGTCATCAGATGCATGATCCAGAGGCCGGGAAAGAGACGCTGAGGGTGTCGGCCTTGATCTATGGGGTGACCGTGATTGGTGAGCAGAGTAACTATCCCAATCCGAGTAACCTGCTGGAGTCAACCATGGCATAGATGCTCCTTTTTCTTTTTCACGGGAGTGGACGTGGAAGACTGCGCCGTCGGTACCGGACATTTCGATATCGACTGGACGATGTCGGACGAGGATTTTGAAGCCGGGGCCGTCGATGTCGATGGTCTCACTGGTACTTCTGGATCCATGGCGGAAGCGGGATTTAGCACTAATTCTAGTAATGCCACCCGGAGACGCGCCGCTTGGTTCTTCCTAGTTTGATTGGAGAACTTGGCACAATGCCTGCAGGACTCCAGTCGGTGTGTCTCACCAAGACAAAAAATACAAAGATTGTGGCTGTCCAGCGGAGCGAGCTTACTGCTGCTCCCTTTACAATGTTTGAAACCCCCCCACCTTTTCTCCATAAAATAAAATGGATGGAGAAGAGGGGGGGGGGCGCGAAGGCCAAACTGAGGTAAGGCGAAAAATTTCCCCCTCAAAACTAAATAAAGTCTTTCTTTATTAAAAAAAGAAAAAATGAAGAAGTGAAGGAAAGGTGTAAACTAAGAGGAAAAACTGAAGAGAAATCCGAAGAGCCTCTGAGGAAAATAGCTACCAATCTGACCGACCAAGGAAAGGTGCTTCCAGCGTGGCGGAAAGGAACTGGCGGGATATCTGCGCCCACCCCTCTGGGCATGCGTGGTGGGGGTTCCTGCGCATGCCTGAGGTCTGGGCACAAAAATCCGTTAGAGCTTGCTACAGTGCTGATCGATCCAGTGCAGGCGCACTGTATCCCATGGGTGTGAAGCACAGAGACCACGTCAAAGATCAATGTCTGAATTATTGGAATGTCTGAAATATTGGAATGAGGTATTCCTCCTTGAGTGACCATTCTTGGGTTATCAAGACCTGTCTGCTCATGATATCAGCTACAGTATTGCTTTGCCCTGCCATATGAATTGTCATCAGATGAGCCTTGTGCTTTATGGTCCAACACCAGACTCATGAAGACTCTGTGCAGAGTGATGGATACTGTGTCCCCCACTTATTTACATAAAACTTTGCAGTAGTGTTGTCTGTGGCTAGTAATACTTTCTGACCTTCCACCAGATCTGAAAAAGGAGAGCTTTTATGATTGTCCTTAATTCTAACACATTAATGTGCAGTCTAGATTCAGACTCAGACCACCAGCCACAGCTGTGTGAACTCCACAATGCACCCCCCCACCTGGAAATATTTGTAAATTGTGATTGCAAACCCAATGGAATATCCTGGAGTGAAGGGCCTTACTCCACCAGGAGGCTCCTGAGATGAGACCAAGGCATAGAAAACCCCTTCCATTGTGGGTCTGATCCTGGTTGGAATTGTTGGATAAACCAGTTCTGCAGAGGTCTGATAAAGAGTCTTGCATGTAGTGTGACAGCTGTCATGGATGCTATGTATCCAATTAATCTCTGGATCTGCCTGGCCAATAGGAATCTGCAAGCCAAAAACTGGTAAAGACTGTCGTTAGACTAAATGGTAATGCATTGTACTCGTACACAGTATTATCATAACTGAAATGCAGAAATTTTCTGCAGGCCTTATGGATGCTGATGAGGAAGTATGCATCCTTTAAATCAAGGATGGCAAACAAAAGTCTTAGAGACAGCAATGGAAGGATCTCCTGTAAGGAGAGCATCCTAAATTTTGCAACATGCAAAAATTTATTCAGAGCTCTGATGTCCAGAATGGGCCTTTGTCCACTCCCTTTTTTGCCTATTGCGAAAAATTTTGAGTAGAAGCCTGACAGATCCAATGAAGAGGACACTTTTGTGATTGTCCCTTTTTTTGGTAATGAAGTAACTTCTTGAGTTAGGAATTCTGAGCATTGTGTGCCCATCATAGGAGGGGGTGGCAAGGAGGCAGAGACTGGAACTCCAGAAAATAACCAACCTGATATAACCCACTTAATCCTTGGGGGATTGAGCGGGTTGTTTATTTATCCCCCTACTCACTCTTCTATCCTGATGTTGGGTGTACTGAGGCTTAGATGTCTGACTATTGTAAGTCAGGTTTTGAAATCTATAGTCAGAATCCCTAAAAGGCTTATTGTAATTAGGCTGTTGGAAATCTTCTGCCAATACTTGCGTTTGTACTGTTGGGCAGTATTGGATGTAATCCCCAATGACTTCACAGTAATTCTATATTTTCTAATTTCTTCCCAGGATTTAATCTGTTTGTTCACTAAACATTTTCTTCCTCTCAAAGAGGTCTTCCACTTTGACCTTAGAATCAGGTGGGAGAGCCAAAGGTCTTAATCAGGAATGTCTCCTTAACACCACACCTGACACCATCACAATGCTATGGCTATCCGCTGCATGGTGGGCTGCATTCAATTGTGTCAAATGTTTGGCCTTCAAGACAAGGTGATTTCTTGTCACCAGGTACTAACTCAATAAATTGCGACATTCGATCCCAAATAAGCATAATGGGCACCTGCTCATTATGGCAGAAAAATCAGCTACCCTTAAACCCATGGCCCCAGAGGAATATCTCTTTCTCCCCAAGAAGTCCAATTTGCGGCCTTCCTTATCCATGGGAGATGAACGGGACTCAGACCTCCTTCTTACTGGGAATACTTCTGAAACCACAGAGTTAGCTTTAGAGTGCTGAAAGAGGTATTTGCACATGTTCTCTTTAACCCTATACAAGTTCTCTAGCTTTCTCAAGGAAGCTGATGTGGAAGCTGGTCTACACACCTTGGATAAATGGTAGAGCCCCTGGGCCAGACTTCGGGCTGTAGAGTAGTTCCATTATAGGGTCAGATGATTTTGGCTCAGATGACAAATACTGACAGTTGAGGGCCTTTGCCATGCACATAATCTTCTCTGAGTATAACTTCAGATCCTCTATGGGAGAGGGGGCTGATGGCTCAGTAACCCTGTCATCTGGTGAGGGTAGAGAAGTGCTCTCAGACTCTGGGTCTGAAGCTCCGTCAAAGCATTCTTCTGAGTTGGGAATTGGGAACCCATATCAGTCTTTGAGGCTTGAATCTCTCTGTTGCATCTCCTGGATGGAGATTTGGACCCAAAATTGGGAACTGCTGTTGGTCCCATTCTCCCCAATTATCCGGGAGCATCATAGGTACTGGAATGTAAGGGAGTCCCGAAGAACAGTGTCCAGCATCCCTTTCCATTCAACGTCAAGGCTTTTGAATTGGAGGTTGAGCTGATTGTATTTCAAAAACCTTCGGTTCCCATAGGTCCAAAAAATTGTGGTGGTGGCTTGAAGGTGATGGTGTAGTCAGTTTTTTTTTTTCATTTTAAACAACAAATTTTATTGAGAGTTTTATGCAAACAGAAAATAAATCCAACAGGGAAGTCCAAATACAAAGCAAGAGTATTGCAAGAAACCACATTTCTCTAACCGTACAAAATAGCAATTTTTAGTTATACAGCAACAATTTGTATTTAGCATTACTGAGATTTTCCCAGTCAAATTTGTCTATGTTGATCTTGTCCAGTAAGGGATACCAAGCATGAAGTGGGCTCATCAATTCACATTCTGTTTGGATTTCTGAATGAAACGTATTAAAATTATCCAACAGGAATAAGTCCCACACCTTATGAAGCCAGTGTTGTATACTTGGAGGGTTCGGATCTTTCCAATGCTTGGCAATCGCTATCTTTGCCGCCGTGAGTAGAGTACCCACCAACTTTCTACTAGTAAATGAGAACCCATCTGCAGGCCATAAATTCAATAAAATTAAGGCTGGGTCCCATGGAACCTCATAACCAGTTAACTCCTTAACCTTTCTAATGACTAGTAACCAAAATTTCTCAATACTTTTGCACTCCCACTAGCAATGATAGTACGTCGCTTTTTCTCCACATTGTTTCCAGCACAAGGGTTTCATTTGAGGCATCATGTGTGTTAGTCTGGCTGGGGTAAGGTACCGTCGGGTGAGAACTTTCATATTGGCCTCAAAGATATAAAGGGAGTTGGAAAGTTTAGTCTGGGATTTCCAGATTCGATCCCACTGATCATCTGTAATCTGCCTATCCAGATCTATTGCCCAGGCTTGATGGTGTAGTCAGTTTTAGGAAGCAATCAACCCCAATCAGTGTTGACAGCCTGGGTCAAGGAGATGTTGACACCAGATTGTTCGATGCCAGGACTCTGTTCCAAGAATCCTCTTGACCCTGAAGATTGGTATGGGGAAGCTCTATCAGCGTTGAGGCAACCTGGAGGCTCAACTACTGTCCCCAGATGGATGTCGATGAGAATCCCCTCAGGTAGGTGAATTAGAATGCTCAGGAGACAATCTGAGTGCTTTTTTTTTCTTTGCAGGAGGCTCAGAGGCTGATCACTGCGTGGCTGATCTTTCTGGCGGCTCTAGTACTGAGGTTGGTGCAGAACTCACAAACCCCACACTCTCTAATCAAGAGTATCCCAAGTTTTGGTGGTGAGTTCTGTAGCACCTAGTGCTCTTTCCCACAATGCACTTTTAAACGCACTATCCTTCCTTCTCTCGCCTTAGATGTTAAGAGGTGGCATGCTGGGCAAGAGGAGGTGTTATGTCCTTCATCAAAACATAATAAACAAGCTTGATGTTTATCGTTTTATACCATCCTGGCACCACAATCCTGGCACTTCTTAAGCAGAACCATCGTACCAAAAATTTGAGGTAAGACATCCTTGAGAACACTGAAGGACGTTGTTGTTTAGTCAGCTCGCATACATGTCTTCTCCTTATGGCAGCAAGAAGAGAACTGAAGGAAGAGTGCTTCCTAGGGGTGTACCAAAAAAAAAAAAAATCGGCCGGATTCAGATACTGCCAAATTGGGCAGAATCAATTTCAGCCGGCAGAAAGACTCCCAACATGTCAATTTCGACAGTACAGCGGATTCCGGAGGCTTTCAGCCATAGAGAACAATGGAGGGGATGCGGGCAACCTGTTTGGGGGCCCGTAGAATTGGACCCCCTGGTCCAATGTTCTTGAAACTTGGTATCTTGGGAAGAGACTCCAGCAGGTACCCTGTGAGTTTGGAGCCTCTCCCTCAAACCCCCTCCCCTCTAGCCCCCAGAATATACCCTATGTTTTCACCATTGACTTCAATGGCCCATAGGATATAATGGGGTTGAATTGCCGCCGAAGTTCGGTGGCAATTCGGCAGCAAGCCGATTCAGATCAGAGAATCTGAATCGGCCCGCAGCAGCCCGAATGGGACATTTTCGGGGGTGCATTCGGTTACCGAATGCACATCCCTAGTGCTTGCCCTCCAAGTCACATGACCACTGGATGGGAAAATTTCACAAGAAAGGAGGGGGAGCACTCTTGGGATCTTCGGATCCTCTTTTACAGCTCGCTAGCTCCTTCTGTGTGGCTGGACTGCGCACACACAGTCCCATGCATACCTGCACAGAGGCCACAACAATGAATGCATGTCTTTCCAAGAGGAAGTGGGATACATTTCAAATACCTAATGTATCTTTATATTGTTTCACAGTATTGATTTACTTTGTTAATAGGAAGGACTTAACCACAGAACTACTCCTAATAACTTCATCTAGCAAGTGCAGAGGGGCTTTGCTACATAAGAGTAGGCACTGACTTTTATTGCATAGTTGATTTCATGAATGCAGACAGATGGACAAAAGGAAATACTTCTTTACACAACAAGTGATTAAAATGTGGAGTTTGCTGCCAGAGGAGGTAGTGATGGCCACAGGCATAGGCAGCTTTAAAGGGGATTAGACAGATTCATGGAGGACAGCAGCTACTGGCCACAGGGATGAAAGGGAACCTCCATGTTCAGAGGCAGTCAACCTCTGAATCCCAACGACAGGAGGCAACATCAGAGGGAAGGCCTCGGCCTCTGTGCCCTGCTTGTTGGCCCTCCAGAGGAACTGGTTGGCCACTGTATGAGATGGGATGCTGGAGTAGATGGCCCACTAGTCTGATCCAGCAGGGCTCTTCTGATGTTCTTAAATACATTTTCAAAATTCATAATAATTTGGACAGTTTACTAAAACTATAAGCAAAATGAAATATTGTTCTTTATTATGTTTCTAGCATGTCCGCAGGGTTTATGTTGCAACACCCACCATGATAGCTGAAGAATGCAATCACTAGTTTTGTAACAGACACATGCAACACATTTTTGTTTATGTATTTTTAAATTATTTTTCCTTAATTTGTGTGAGATCTGTTAAAATTACTTAGGTCCTAACATGTCTTCTGGCTTTACCCACTGATCAAATTGTTCTGCTGTAAGAAATCCAAGCTTGACAGCTGCTTCTTTTAACGTTGTCCCTTCTTTATGTGCTGTTTTGGCAATCTTGGCTGCCTTGTCATAACCTAATGTAAAGGGGAAAGAAAACAAGATAAGGTCACTGAGAAACAAACTAATCAAAAAGGCACTCCGGTCTCCACAATGCTGTAAGAAACAGCAGCAATGATTCCTAAAAATAAGATAAATTGCAGAAAGCTCTTTAAATACTGGAACAGTTAAGCCAGCAGCAGATCCATGTCATTTACCACAAAACTGATAACAATTATTTGATCTCTGGATATAGAATTACATTGGAAGCTTCCGCAGTTTTATTAAATTTGATGGAATCGATATTAAATGTGTCACTGGCAACTAAATCATATGGGTCAACATTCAGAAACAGATGGATGGTACAGTATCTGTTCTCCACAGTGCCATCTCTTTCTGCATGTTGAGAGGGGAAAACTACATATTGCTGAAATTAAGTAGCTAACTAAAACGGTATGTAACAAAATGGTTTAATGGGAAAACAGACTTTGTTTATTAGTTATTGGAACACTCATTGTAATTTTGTTGGAACATCATGGTTTGTTGTTGCTTAAGTGTGCTTTGGTATTTGTATTCTTTTAATTTTTCAAAATACATGACAAAGATGCAAAGATGTCCTCTCCCTCGCCTCGCATGGCCTTCCATGGAGACACACATCTCTGCAGGTCTCTCCTGTGGAGACAATACCCTCATCCTCCCACACACATGATGCTGGACAAGCTGGCCATTTGGGATAGGGAAAAGTACTCTACAGATTAGGCTTCTTTCTCTTCTTTCAACTGCAACCTGAACATGAACTGGATCTACTTGAATAAATGCAAGTTTACCCTTTTTGCAATATACTCCTTGGGAGATTTATTTACTGCACTCAGTATCATGCTTCCATGACTGGCCAACCTCTGCTATAGTGCGCACGCGCTGGATCGATCGGCATTGTAGCAAACTCTTTTAACGGATTTTCGCGCCCAGACCTCGGGCATGCGCAGGAACCCCACCGCACATGCCCAGAGGGGAGGGCGCGGACATCCCGCCAGTTCCTTCAAACCGCCGCAAACCAACCCCTATTGAAAATGTAGAAGCTGACAGCAGCGGGGAAGGAGGGCGGGTGATGTGAATGCACAGATGACCACTCGAAGATCATCAGTTACAGGTAAGCAACCTGTTTATCTTCGACATGGTCTCTTTGCTTCACACACATGGGAGATTAGCGAGCAGTGGCCTACCTGGAGGAGGGTGCTGGCAGGTCCTTACTGCATCGCCGAAGATAGAATGTGACGTCCCATGTTGGTATTAGAGTTCTTACGGACGTCTAGGGCGTAATGCCTCATGAAGGTGTTAGGCATGGCCCAGGTAGCAGCCTCACAGATGTCCGTCAGGGGCACTCCCTGGAGGAAGGCAGTGGAAGCCGCAACAGCCTGGGTGGAATGGGTCTTGATGGGCCCAGGAAACGGCTGCTTTGCAATCAAGACCCGCAATCCACTTTGAGAGGTGTTGAGCCGTGATGCGAGTCCCCAGCCTCGCTGGTGTGTATGAGGCAAACAGCTGGGAGTCACGTCTCGTTGGGCGGGTTCTATTGAGGTAGAACAGTAGTGCCCTTTTGACATCCAAGGTATGTAACAGTCTGTCCTCTGGGGATTTCGGAGCTGGGAAGAAATCCGGGAGGAAGACCTCTGCCTGTAGGTGGAACTCTGACACTACCTTTGGCAGGAATGAAATGTCAGGGACGAGGTGGACGCCGTCGGGCAAGAATGACAAATAAGGCGTGTCATGCCGGAAAGCCAGTATTTCTCCGCCTTGCAGAGGTGATGGCCACTAGAAGGGCCGTCTTCCAAGACAGGAATTTCATATCGCAAGTTACGAGTGGCTCAAAGGGTTTCCTCGTAACTTGACGAAGGACTAGAGGAAGATCCCAGGGAACGACAGGAGTCTTGACAGGAGGGAAGAGGTGTAACAAACCTTTTAAAAAATGTTTCGAAAGTGGATGTGAAAACATGGTGCATCCATCAATGTGAACATGGTAGGCCGAAATTGCGGCCAAATAAACTTTTAACGATGAATGGGAAAGTCCCGAGTCAGCTAGGGACAGGAGGAATTGGAAAACTTTCTCGAGGCCTGCGGAGGAGGCTCAAGGGGCATCATCACCTAGGGAAGAACAGAATCGTTGCCATTTATAATGGTAGGACCTTCGCGTAGCAGGTTTCCTGGCGTTCAGTAGAACATTGGCTACGCGGGTCGAAAAACCTTTGACGTTATTCTCCACGCCGTCAATTTCAAGCGTGGTATGTCGTGATGTAGGAGAGGGGAGTCTGA